ATTTGAGGGTGCTCATTACCAATATAGCATTTGTTTGTAAATCCAAGATTGCAGACACGATTTTTCAAAAAATGCAATATGGGTGTCCTTTTCGAGGTATTTGGGGGTGCTCATTACGAATATAGCACTTATTAGTAAATCCAAGATGGCAGATACGGTTTTTCAAAAAAATGCAATATAGGTATTGTTTTCGAGGTATTTGGGGGTGTTCATTACGAATATAGCACTTATTTGTAAATGCAACATGGCGGACACGATTTTTCAACAAATGCAATATGGGTATCATTTTTCAGGTACTCGGAGATGCTCATTACGAATATAGCACTTATTTCTAAATCCAAGATCGCGGGTACGACTTTTCGAATAATGGCAAGTTATCTATCCTTTTTGAGGTATTTGGGGGTGCTGATTACGAATATAGCACTAATTAATAAATCCGAGATAGCAGACACGATTTATCAAAAAAATGCAATATGGATATCGTTTTCGAGGTATTTGGGGGTGCTCATTACGAATATAGCACTTATTAGTAAATCCAAGATGGCAGATACGGTTTTTCAAAAAAATGCAATATAGGTATTGTTTTCGAGGTATTTGGGGGTGTTCATTACGAATATAGCACTTATTCGTAAATGCAAGATGGCGGGCACGATTTCTCAAATATTGGCAAGTTGGGTATCATTTTCGAGATACTTGGGAGTGCTCATTACGAATATAGCACTTATTTGTAAAAGCAAAATGGCGGACACGATTTTCCAAAAATGCAATATGGGTGTCATTTTCGAGGTATTTGTGGGTGCTAATTACGAATATAGCACTTATTAGTGAATCCAAGATGGCGGACACGATTTAAAAAAAAAATGCAATATGGGTATCGTTTTCGCGGTATTTGGGGGTGCTTATTACGAATATAGCACTTATTCGTAAAAGCAAGATGGCGGATACGATTTATTAAAAAAATGCAATATAGGTATCCTTTTCGAGGTATTTGGGGCTGCTCAATACGAATATGGTACTCATTTCTAAATCCAAGATGGCGGACACGATTTTTCGAATAATGGCAACTTGGGTATCGTTTTCAAGGTATTTCGGGGTGCTCATTACGATTTACTTTTACGATTTACTTACTTCTAAATCGAAGATGGCGGAAATGACTTTTCAAATAAATGCAATATGGGTAACATTTTCGAGGTATTTGGGGGTGCTCATTATGAATATGGCACTTATTTTTAAGCTCAAGATGGCGGGCACGATTTTTCAAATAATGGCATGTTGGATATAGTTTTTGGGGTATTTGGGGGTGGGTGGTCTTCGCGAATATAGCATTTATATCTAAATTCAAGATGGCG